TTAAAATTAAATTTAAAATATTTAAATTTAAAAAAATTTAAAACCCTGGGCCAAAAGGCAGACCATGAAACCACCTGCCACATGAGCCCTTTCTTTCTCCAACTCAGTGTTTCTCAACTTTTTTTCATTATTTCCCTCTTAAGGAGCCATTAGATATTTTTTCCTAATCATACCAACCATGATTTTTTAATAGCACTTATATATAATACATATATATAATACACACACACATATATATGTATTATACATTAAGTTTTTTTTTATGATAGTCAGAGAGAGAGAGAGAGAGAGAGAGAGAGAGAGAGAGGCAGAGACACAGGCAGAGGGAGAAGCAGGCTCCATGCACTGGAAGCCCGATGTGGGACTCGAGCCCGGGTCTCCAGGATCGCGCCCTGGGCCAAAGGCAGGCGCGCCACCCAGGGATCCCCTGTATTATACATTAAAAGAGCAAGTATAGGGCAGCCCGGGTGGCTCAGCGGTTTAGCGCCACCTTCAGTCCAGGGCCTGATCCTGGAGACCCTGGATGAGTCCCATGTCGGGATCCCTGCATGGAGCCTGCTTCTCCCTCTGCCTGTGTCTCTGCCTCTCTCTCTCTCTCTCCTCTCTGTGTATTCTCATGAATAAATAAATAAAATCTTAAAAAAAAAAGAGCAAGTATAAAGTTTATTCTTTTTATTCAATAATGAATTTGTAATAACTGAATAAATATTTTAAGTTAAATTAAAAATTCTAATGCTAACATTTAAATTTATAACATTTGCTAAGTAGCTTTTAATGTAATGTATCAAATTACACATGTGAATTTCCAATTTCTACATAAGAGCAATGTAACCAAATTTTTTATTTATTTTTTATTTTTGGGGATCCCTGGGTGGCACAGTGGTTTGGCGCCTGCCTTTGGCCCAGGGTGCGATCCTGGAGACCCGGGATCGAGTCCCACATCGGGCTCCCGGTGCATGGAGCCTGCTTCTCCCTCTGCCTGTGTCTCTGCCTCTCTCTCTCTCTCTCTCTGTGACTATCATAAATAAATAAATAAATAAAAATTTAAAAATATATTTATTTTTTATTTTTTATTTTTTGTAACCAAATTTTTTAAAAAGACATTCAATAGTGCTATTTCTCTAGCAAAAATAAGACAATTGAAAAATTATCTTCTCAAAAGTCATTTTTTAGGGACACCTGGGCAGCTCAGTTGGTTAAGTATTCAACTCTTGACCTCAGCTCAGGTCTTGATCTCAGGGTCATGAGTTCAGGCCTTGTGTTGGGCTTAAAAAAAAAAAAAAAAAAAATTTTAAGTTATTTTTTAGGATGCCTGACTGGCTCAGTCAGAAGAGCATGTGACTCTTGATCTCATGGTTGTGAGCTCAAGCCCCATCTGGTGTGTAGAAATTACTTAAATAAATAAAAATGAAAACTTTAAAAAGCTATTTTTAGTGAACTTAACTTTTTTTACATGAGAAAATAATTTTTAACTTAAGTAACTGCTAGATATTCAGATATATTGAATATTTTCTCTTTTCATTACTTGACAACTATTGGTGGACTGAATAACTTTAGTAGGATTAAATAATAAAACATAAACTATTCCTATTTAATCCTCAAATACCAAGTCATGCACGAAAACACTCAAGGCCAAACATGAACAACATCCACAAGACAGCCATTGGGCAGTCTGCACATATGAGGAGGTCACCAAGAGAGAGATGACTTCAAGATCAAGTAAATGAAAAAAAAAATGAAAAAAAAAAAAAAAGATCAAGTAAATGGTAGAAAGTCCTCCACTCCTAGCCATCTATTTGCCATAGGTTTATAGTATTGACCTTGCATACATTCTGTGTATCTCCCAAGAACCTGATGTCAACATAACACCCAAGAGAATTTTTAATGAAAATAAGATATTGTTGACCAAGCTCTGAAGGGCTACAAAACCACTCCAATATCTAAGATGTTTCTGCCTCCCTGCAGAAATAATTTTTGCCACCCTTGAGGTTGCAAGCCCTAACTTCTATGTTCCCCCATTTATCCTCCTAGCAACTAAACAGAAAAAAAAACAAAACAACAAACACCAGTTCACCCAGGAAAGCACCCCATCTTCCAGCTACCATGATAGCTTCTCTATTACTATCATTTCCTTAAGAAACTTTGAAAGAAAAGGAATTCCCATATTATTAGCTCTTCTCCCAAAAAGGAGCCTCCCTCCAAAAAAGCACGGACTTCTGTGGAAGAACACTTAGAACTCATCTAGCTCTGCTTCTTCAGATGAGGAAAAAGATGAGAGAATGAAAGACTTGCTCAATGAAATCACTAGTTACAGACAATGAGACCCGATCAGTCTGGCTCACTGCTCTATCTGCAGGCAGATGTTTCCACACACAATGAATAAACGGCTACTGGACAAATTAGTGACAGAGAGCCTGGTTCCTCTAATCCCTAGCCTACTACTTTTCTAACTACACCACTTTGTCCCCTTCTACTACCCTAGAAGATAAAACAATGGCCACATAGACTATCAAACATATATTGTTTAAAAAGCTCCCCAACTGAAATAAGCCACCTTAGTTTCACATGCCTAGTAAAACTGACCAAGAGGGTCTTGTTCACTTGTGGTACAGTGCTTGCTTCAGCCCCCTGAAAGATAGAGACTTTTTACAAATAAGTCAAGTGTACCCAGTCAACAATGCAATACTTCTTACTTGCTTACCCTGCCTGGAGCTCTATTCTAGAGTTCCTGCACACACGTCATATATCCATCCTTACCTAGCCAGAGAATCCTTAAGAGCTAAAACTATGTCTTCTCTTTCTAAGGCACCTACCAAGTTTGAGAACAGAGCAAATGTTCAATAAAACTCTGCAAAATCTCTACCAATAGAAATGATGTATCGTGAGGGACAAAAGTGAATTTGGCATGAACAAAAAAAAATTGTTTGTACTCTGCTCATCTCCTAGGACCCATATAGTACCTTACATGTAACAAGAATCTAATAATTATTGAATTTTAAAAATGAAAGATACAGCAAACACTGAGAAATTATTAAGCAACATCATCTCTGCTCTTTTTCATTCATTCAACATATGTATATTTACCAAGAATCTGTGTGCCAAGCTGTCTGCTGTTCAACACCTAACTTATTCCACAGAACTAGAGTCCTCCTCCCTAGTCAATGCATTTCAACGCTTCAATTCATCTTGTAGATAGTGGGTATGGCTAGGCTGGCTAAAGGTCTCTATATGCCCAGGACAGTCCCAGTTTACACCTATTGTCCAAGTATTAATTATTAATAATATCTCCTTTCTCTCTCAACAACACCCTGGTCTTGACGATTATATTGCCCTAAGAGTACCAAATCTTTTTAGACAAAGCAGACTAGGGATTCAAAATTTTCAATCCACATTTACTGTGTACTGCCAGTCTTCTTTCCTCATTTATAATAGCAGCATAACACGGACAAAAGTAACTGGTTATACAGAGGGAAGTAGCTGGGGATCAGATGGAACATGAAATTGAGATCACACTGTAGAGGGCCTTGCATGCCAGACTTATGAATATTTAATTTAACATACAATAGACAGCCATAAAAACTTTTAAGGGAGTGTATGTATAGTCAAAGCACCATGAAAATTTAACTACCTCAATTATAGAAAAGAACTAAGACAGGAGGAAAGAAAAACAGAAGGCTCCAGGTCATACCAAAAGACAGTCTAAGGCTATAAATAAAGAAAGGTTGTCATGGATGAAAATAGCAACAAATACGCTATTTCATCATTTGCCTTTAGGTGTACTTTAAAAGTTTCGACAATAAAAAGATGCAACTTGGCAAGCTTCGGTACATCGGTCTGTGGTCTCGGGGGTCCCCGCTGCAAGGGACTGGCTGTCAGGAAGGTTTTTAACAGCCTGGCTTGCCCTATTGCCTGTCAGCCGCGTAAAGGAGCTGTAGTTTGGTTTTTGTTTCGTTTTTATTTCAAGGACTACATTGAAAACACTGCACTCGTTGTCAGGAGTTTCCCGACATTAAAGAGATGCACAGGAATCTTAACCTGCCTCCTCCAGATCTTCCACTATTGCATCATTTGAAACCAAACCTCCGGCAGCGACTTGTAAAATTCAAGTCAGGTAAAATGGCAGCAGCAGCAGCAGCAGGAGCAGCAGCAGCAGCAGCAGCAGGAGCAGCCGCCGCCGCGGCAGCACCCACACTTCGGCCGGCCTCAGCGTCCAGCGCGAGAGGGGGGCGCGTCCCCGAGGCTGCCGAGCGCTGCAAGTGCGCCAAAGCGCAGGTCCGGCGCGCGCCCCAGGGTGCGCAGACGCCCGCGCGCCCGCCCCAGGAGGAAGTGGCCAGTGACTCAGTGACTCAAGCGCAGTCGAGAAGCCGGGAGGCCGGAGTCGGTCCTCGAAGCCACAAGCTGCGGACCCGACGGGAAAGGCCTGTGCCCTGGGGACGGAGCGAGAGCACCAGTTCCCGGGCTGCTGCTCCGGTCCCCCAGCCCTCCGGCCCCCCGGCAGCCCCCGCCCTGGTGCCCGCTCGTGCGGACGCCCCGGGGGCTCCTTCCTCGCCGGTGTCCTCTTCCTGTCACTGCCTGGAAGCCCTTCGGTCCCGCCGCCTGCAAACTTCCACAGAAGTGAGAGTCCCGCAGAACCCAGAGGGCGGGCGTCGGGACTTCAGGGTCAGAGCCCACAAGCGCCCAGGCGCTGCGGGAGCGGCTCGGAACCGCGCAGGGCTGCGGGCCCGGCGCCCCCGCGCGCTCGCACCCATCCACGCGCGGACCCAACGCGCTGCCCCTCCCACGACCCCGCGGGGCCCGCGCCCAGGCGCCCCGCAGCGCCGCGGCCCCGAGCGCCCTCCACGCTCCCGCGGGACCCACCCCCCAGGCCGGCGCCCCCCCCGCCGGGCTGGACGTGGCCGGTCCCGGCCTGGGGACCAAGGGGGCGGGACCCCGGCTGCCCTCCGGCTCGCTCATCCCTCGCGGACTCGGGAGGCAGCGCCTGCACCCCCACCAGCCGGTACCTCGTCCGCCTCGAGCTCGGCTCCGTTGCCCACCAACGCCATGTTCCTCCTCAGGCCGCCGCCACCCAAAAACCAAACAGGGAGCTCGGGGCCGACTCGGTTTCTGGGCGCCCGGCTCAGCCCAGCGCCGGCGAGGGAGGAAGGGGGCGGCCCCGCGCTCCGGCCGGTCCCGGGCGGGGCCAGCGCGCAGCGGAGCCGGCGCTTTCCCCGCCCCCGGCGCCCGCGGACCTGCGGAGCATCCATTCCGCCCGCGGGCGCCGAGCCGCCAGCCCGGCCTCGCCCCGCCCCCCGCGGCCTCGCCGCGCCCCCCGCGGCCTCGCCCCGCCCCCCCACGCGGCTCAGACCGAAGAGCCAACCACGTTCCCGCAAAGCGTCTCGGGCCCGGGGCCCCGGGCCCCGGACCCCTCGGGGGGCGGGGTCGCCGGGGCGGGGCCCCCCAGTGGGCGGGGCATCTCGCAGAAGGTGACTTTGGGGTACTGGAGCGGCCCAGCTACCTGCGCTGGGCGGGGGGCTAGTGCCAGACTGCAGCCCAGAGGACGCCAGGCTGACGGGGTCGAGGCCAAGGCCGCTACCCTTGAGGCGGGTGGAAGTGTCTACCTGGCCCTTGGGCCAATGCCAGTCCGCCTCCCTTATCAAGTGGACACCCGATCTCCCAGGTAGTGGGGACCAGAGGGACACGATCCCCCGTCACCCAGAAACTCCTGTCACACCGCGTTTCCAGACACTATGTCAGATAGAGGCACGCTGTGTTTGCTTCTGTGTATGTTTGAAAAATAAAATCCATGAGACAGGTATTGATACAACTTGGAGCTCCTCTACCTCTCCTCCTGTTCCCCTATCATGTTACGTCCCCATAACATCCTACACCGATCCCTTTTGTAACCCCAAATATACGTATCTAATTCGTGCGTGAACTGTAAGCTCTATGAGGGTAGAGATGCTGTCCTCTTCCAGGCTGTGTCCCCAGAACCTAGAACAATGTCTTACACATAGCAGATACTCAACAAATATTTGTTGGCTGAATTTAGAAATTTATTCTTGGGGCATCTTGGCACAGGTAGTTCTGTGGTTGAGCTGCCACCTTTGGCTGAGGTCGTCATCCTGGGGTCCTGGAACCAATCCTGCATCAGGCTCCCCACAGGGAGCCTGCTTCTCACTCTGCCTATGTCTTTCTGCCTCTCTCTGTGTGTCTCATAAATAAATAAATGCAATCTTTAAAAAGGGAAAAGTTTATTCTTTTTTAAATTTTTTTTTGAGAGGGAGAAGGTGGGAGACAGAGAATCTTAAGCAAGCTCAACCCCCAGCAGGATGGGGGCAGGGCTCGATGTCATGACCCAAGCTCAAATCAAGAGCCTCCACTTATCTGACTGAGCCACTCAGGCACCCTTAGAAATTTATTCTTGCTTCTAACATGTAAAATAAACTATCCAACTAGAAAATTAAAAGCTGTATTTTTTAGGGCTGGGAGCATATTTTGTCTGCTTTATTCTACACACGAAAAAATTCACCAAATTTAAGTATGTAATGCTATGACATGTTTACAAAACGCCAGCCCAATCATAATATAGAGCACCTTAAAAAGTTCCCTGTGCTCCTTTGCTATCAATTTCCTACCCCCACTCCCTTGCCTCTGACAACCACTGATCTCCTACTTTCTATCCCCATTGTTTTGCCTTTTCTAGAATTTCACATAAATTGAATCAAAGAGCATGTGGTCTTTTGCATCTGGCTCATGAAAAGCTACTTAATCACCATTTAGTGATAATGATAAAAATAGCTAGTATTTATTGAGTACTTACTATGTGTATCAGGACTATGAGCACCACCTACATATTATCGCGCGCTCTCTCTCTCTCTCTCTCTCTCTCTTTTTTTTTTATGATAGTCACACAGAGAGAAAGAGAGAGAGGCAGAGACATAGGCAGAGGGAGAAGCAGGCTCCATGCACCAGGAGCCCGATGTGGGATTCGATCCCGGGTCTCCAGGATCACACCCTGGGCCAAAGGCAGGTGCTAAACCCTGTGCCAGGGATCCCCATATTATCTCATTTATACTTCATAACCCCATTAAGTAGGTAGTATTATCAGTAAGCTGAGGCTAAGAGAGTTCAAGTGACTTGTTCAGGTCACAGCTATGAATCAAATAAGGATGCCTAAATCTGAACTCCAGCAGTCTGACCATAATGGGTACCTGGTAACCACTGTTCTGTACTGCCTCCAGCCACTCTGCTTCTCTTATTTGTTTCTGTACACCAACTGCCTACAGATGTCTATTACACACATTTTCAAAGAGTCCCCTTTGCATCTTTGAAACTTCTCTAAGATTTTAACGATTCATTATGTAACTTTATAAAAGAAAAATAAAATGGTTTCTATCCCATATACAACATGAAAAAATATGATTGTGGTGATGGTTGCAGAACTCTGAATTTTCTACAAATCATTGAATTGTATGCTTATGGGTGAATATTATGGTTATCTACAAAATATCTCAATAAGGACATTTTTTTCACTGGTTGACACACTTCTTTAGATGCTATTAGGATCAAATGTATGGGGCTAGGAAGGAACTAAAGGTCTTTTAATTCCAATACTCCTGAAAATTTCCATTCCTCCTCCCCACTCCCTCCCTTTTCTGTTTATGCTTCACTTTCTGAGGCTAGATTTCCTGTCTCGATCCAGATTCTACTCTGTATTACTCACACATGATTCTGCTTTTTACAGTTCATTGGTTCCTAAATTAATATCACATCTTTTTGACGTGAAACCATCTATCTCATTGGTGGCTTCTTCCTTTCCTGTATGCTTTGTTACTGTCTCACAAATTTCATCTCAAATTTTGAAGAAATACAAAAGAAGTTGGCTCTAATTAGTGACATGATGATATTGTAATGAGAAGTCTGATTTTTCAGGAATCTATTCTTATAAAGTTCAGGGTTTGTTTTTGTTTTTTTAATATCCGATATCAAATCTGAAGATCTGTAAGTCTTAAATTCACATCACTAGATAAAGCAACACTCTAGATCAGCAACACTCGTTATTTCTAAGAAAGCCAATTGTAAATATTGAATGAATACGTTCTAGCCACTGGAACATCTAATCAAATTTGCTTTGCTCCTAGCAGAAAGAAAGTTGGCACTTTCTCTGCACATGTATGATTTTGCGGGGTCATGAATCACAAATATAATACAACCTTTTTCAAAAAAGTATTCGAATGGATTCATTTTTGCAACAGAATTCATTGCCAGTTTGCTGATAACATTGTACTCTTAACAGTCAAGTGAGATTACTCAAATATTTAATTTCCCAAAAGTAACCAACAGAGTGATGAAGCAAGAGTGAGTGTCTTATTTGTTTTTACTTTGAAAGCACACCTACTGGGATCTGTTTGGAATTCAAAATAATTCTAATATTGCTCACAATCTTATCTTTAGTATTCCTGAACCTGTTACCCTTAGTTGACCTAGGGTTTTCTGTGGATGCTTGATTTAAATAAAAATTGCATCTTCATCATTTGTGTAGTGGGAAAGAGAGTGGTTGTCCATTTAGGAGAGAATAATTTTAGATGTTTGTATCCATGAAATAAGTGTTCATTGTAAATTATGCATTTGTCAATAGCTTTGTCTCACATTCCTCAAGGAGAATTTTCCCCTCCAACATAGCCTTTCCCTCCCAATTACAAGCTCCCATGCCCTCCTACTGCCTTCATAGCACTTTTTCCTACCTGAACCATCTTGTCCATTTGTTTACATGTTCATGGTCTACCTCCCTCGACAACACCCCCTCACACACCCTATAATGTAAACTCCATCAGGGAAGGCACCCTGTGTTTCATGTTTCTAACAGAGAACCCCAGTGCCCAAAACTTATCAGATATTTAATAAATGGTTATTGAGTGAACAAATGAAAGTATCAAAAGTTCATAATACACAAAGAATTTTGTTTAGACCAAATGCCAATACTATAGCATAGTACATTTTTTTAAAAGGAGATAACCAATAATAATGAGGGAGATTAAAGATGGCAAATTGGGCACCTGGATGGCTCTGTGGTTGAGCATCTGCCTTTGGCCCAGGGTCCTAGAATCAAGTCCCACATCAGGATCCCTGCAGGGAGCCTGCTTTTCCCTCTGCCTATGTCTCTGCCTCTCTCTCTCTGTATCTCTCATGAATTAATAAATAAAAGCTTTCAAAAAATAAAGATGGCAAATTACATGAAACCCAAAAAGTACATACTGTTTTTCTTAGGATAATGTGCAAGGTATGATAACTGTCCTTTTTTAAGATTTTATTTATTTATTCATGAGAAACACAGAGAGCGAGAGAGGCAGAGACACAGGCAGAGGGAGAAGCAGGTTCCATGCAGGGAGCCCGATGTGGGACTCGATCCTGGGACTCCAGGATCATGTCCTGGGTCGAAGGCTGGCGCTAAGCCACTGAGCCACCCAGGGATCCCCTGATAACTGTCTTTAATGTCAACTCATTTTTTCAAAATTATACAAGAGCTAAGCACTTAGAGTTCTCTCAGTGACCTAAAAGGGATTAATTCATGTTTCTGGGAGGGGATTAAATGCTAGGGGGAAAAAACTGCATTATTTAGTGGAGGCTGAAATCCTCCCTTAAGAATATCCCTATTCTAGGTATCTGGAGCTGGGTAAACATTCATTTTGCCCTATTTGTCAGTTCTTTGTTATAAATATATATTTGTATATAAATATATGTTTATAAATTATGTATACATATATATGTATATATAATCTTTCCAGTCACCTTCCTATTTATTTTCCCTATATCTCTTTACATTAATCTCATTTTTTCAGGTGAGGAAAGTGAGGTTCAGAGAAGAGAAAAGCAACACAAAGACTAACTTTGACAAATGAGACCTCTGAGTAGTGTTGAAGATTTAAAACCAAGAATACATATAGAATCTGTGGCAGAGAGTGCTCATTGCCACCTGCTGTTCAATCTCCCTTTGTTCCATCAGTAAGAGAACCTAATTTTTCTTAAAGAATTTATTTATTTATCTGACAGAGAGAGAGAGAGTACAAACAGGGTAGGGGCAGAAGGAGAGAAGCAGGTGCCCCACTGAGCAGGGGACCCTCCCCCGACTTGGGGCTCTATCCCAGAACCCTGAAATCATGACCTGAGCCAAAGGCAGATGCTTAACCATTGATTGAGCCACCCAGGTGCCCCAGAACCTGATTTTATATAAGGTAGCCCGGTACCCAGCTAAAAGACTACATTT